GGCCCAAACCCAATTCCCAACCTTACACTATATAAACCACATCAAAGTTTCATAACTTTCCTATGTGGGACAAGTGTGTGGGAATTTTCCAATAAATCAAATTCGTCACTAGTTCATAGTTTCAAGTGGGTTACTTTGACATTAAATATTTCATTCAATATTAAACGGTTTTCGACAAATAAATATATCATGTTGATCCTCTTGCGGAGTAGAACATGAATATGCTAGGTCCCGTTGAAATTAAGGCAGGGTCCCACTGAAATTTGGGCTCAAAGTTGACCCATTTCGCTAGTAGTAAAACCATTTTCCAACAACCTTTTCTCCATCTTTTATAGATCCATCATTTTCTTTACCCGGCTTCTCCTTCTGGACTTCTTTCTCTTCGTTCTTCCCCTTGAACAACCTGTTCTTCAAAATGGCCTCTTCAATCTTCAATCTGAGCTCTGTCAATGCCTTTTTCTCATGCTCCTTCAGATCAGAAAATAATCCTTTTTCCTCATTCATCAAAGAAGATTCTCCACCTTTTCCATCAGATGATGATGATGATGAACGCCCAACTTTCTCACTTCCCTTGCTGATTTCCTTTTCAGTTCCATCAGATGGCAATGAAGAACTCTCACCCTTAGGAGCATCCACTTTCTCCAATTCTTTAATTGCTCCAGCAACCGTAGCAACTCCCTTTTCTTCCACATTCTCAGATTGCTTTGGCTCTTCCATTTTCCGCAAATCTTTAATTGCTTCAGCAACCGTACCATCTTCTATCGAAGCAACCCCCTTTTCTTCCACATTCTCAGATTGCTTTGGCTCGTCCTCTTTCTCCCAAATCTTTGATTGCTTCAGCAACCTTGTCATCTTCTATCACAGTAACCACTTTTTCTTCTACATTCTCAGATTTGGCCTCGACTCGATCCTTTAAGACCTCCTCGTTTTCCTTTCCCTCCATGGCCATGTTTCTGAAATTCCTGGGTGACCAGGGGCGGAACCACTGGAGTCTAGTGAGAGCAGTTGCCCCCACTGGATTTTGGTCCCGGCTATTTCATGGTGGCCGGTGCTAAGGCAAGGAGAAAATGATAAACAACCACATCAAAAATTCAAGATGGGGAGTTGAGAAAATTGCTGTTATGAAGATTACCGTCAAGAAACAATAATTTTGAAAAAAAAAAAAAATAGATTCCAAGGGGGGCTAGAAGAAGAGCTACAACTGATAATGGTAATCAGATCGAGTTTAAACTAATTCATTCACAAATAAATATGATATTGGTGATGAAGAAGACTTAATACTTGCAGAAATCAAGGATTCATTACAGCAAATTAGTGCCACACATCTCATTTTTTACCACTCGTCACAGAAAGTTGCTCCCCACGATACCAAGCAAAATCCCACGGTCACTGAAGTTTGTGTAAAATATTTAAGTTTCTTATTAATTTTTTTTTTTAAATCCATTTAGTCACTAAAGTTTATAATGGTTTTACCATTGGCATTCAGTAAATAAAAGCAACATAAAATTTGACGAATAATACTATTTGTACATAATAATTTACATACAGTTAAGTTGGCAAAAAGAGATTGTGAATTTTTTTTTTTTAATTTGATTGACAAAATTCAGATTCAATCATATTCACCACATCATATATATGTAAATTATTATATACATGTAACCTCGTCGAAATTTGACATGCCATCTATTAAGAGCCCGTTTAGCTCCATTATTCCACGTTCTAATGAGAGAAATAGTAATTTTTTAGAAAATGTGGTTAAAAAAGAAAGAAAAGTTTTTGAGTTTACATATAATATTATTTTATTAGAAAATAATGAATTATAATTTAATGGGGAATAATGAGGTCAAACGAGATTTAAGTGTATCAAACACCATTAATTAACACAAGGAATAGTTGAAAGATAAATACAAAAAAAACATCTTTCTAATGAGTCAAAAACATGAGAAACCCAATTTAACATCAAATTTTACATAAATTTTGCTAACCACGTGACCAATGGTGACACCTAATGAACTTTAGTGGCTAAATGTGAATGGGTTAGAAAACTTTAACGACCAAATTGAAATTTCACACAAACTTCAGTTACCATTGGTGATATTAACTCGATATAGTGCCGTTACAATGTTACACTAATATCATTGTCCGAAACATGCTTTAAAATAATAAATTGACAATGATTATACTTCTCTACACAAAATATTCCAAGAAGTCGTTCATTTGGATTTAAAAAAATTCAACCGATGTTATCAATGCGATTTTAGTCACTGTTGTTAATATTAATTATACTAGTTAAAGAGGCGTCAAGCATTGCAACAAAAGCTCTCGTAGCTCAGTTGGTTAGAGCACCCGTTTAGTAAGCGGGAGGTCTTGAGTTCGACTCTCAACGAGAGCAATTTGCTTTTTATAAATTATTTTATTTCGTCTTCGCATTTGAGTCACCATAATGCCCCCACAGAGTTACCTCAATCCTCATCATATGATTTGCAGAATAGAAGAAAATTTTTTGCCTTCAATTTAATAAATAAATAGTTAGATTTGCAGGAAAACCAATTATTTTTAACCGCATATTTTCTCGACTATACCATATTTAAAAGTTGAGAAATAAGAGAAACAATTCGGAACGATAATATCTTTATAAATAATTTATAGGTCCTAATACGTCCTTAAATTAATATGAGAAAAAAGAAAAAAAATATGTTTAGTCCTAAAATTATTCTTCTACGTTAAACGCTTCATTCTGTATCCTTCATTTTCCAATTCTGGATTTCTTTGTCAAATATCAATTTCTATGCTGATAGCATTCTCACCACACCCACAAATATACAGCACCAACTGATTACATAATTCAGACCCAGAGATACAAAGAGTACTAAAATCTGAATTTTTGTAGCTCTCAAACTAGGGGATTACAGTACTGGAAGAAAAGAAGATGAAATACAGATATAGGGGGTTGAACTTGTACTACTTTTTGATATTCCAGTTATGGGATGTCCGAGGTGCAGCTGCAATGCCATCGTAGTATCGGGGTTCGAGCTCCTTGTTGTTCCATTCCATGACAAACATTTTGAATAGATCGCGAGCAGAATCGGAAGAAAGATCTGAGAAGAACATTTTCTTCTCTTCTTTCAGCCATGTAGCAAATTCATTATTCTTGGAGAAATAGTCTTCATTGGACAATTCTTGGAATTTTAGTTTCTGGGTAAAGGATTAAAAAAAAAGTTAAGAAAACAAGTAGAGTGATTAATGCTACTTGAGATAACAATTATTTCTATTATTTCAATAACTTTACATTACAGCAGTTAATATTGCGGCGAAGAAGAACATGTGCACACCCAACACATGCAGAGTGCCCCTAGCAAAGCCCGGGTTCAACCAAAAACAAGGGAAAAAGTTCTAAAATCTCAGAGGATTTAATACTACTCAAAAAGACAATAGAATTCAGTTCTACAAAGTATATTTAAATATTCCGAAATTGCTCAAGTCTTCTGATAATCTTTTGACCTCACAGTAAGATCTCTATAACTTCAATGAGAAATACTGAAAAAAATATATATTCCTTGATATATTATTAATAATACCTTCAGCAGAGTTGATTTGAAAAGCCTTCAAATATGGGTACTTGTAGTTTAAATTTTAAAGAGAAACACAAGCACACGTAGAAAGATACAAAAGATAGATCTCAGATTATTAAGTACACAAGTCATCAAAACAAAGACCATATGAACACACAGTTAATACCTATCTAGAAATTGGAAGAACTGCAAAGATGAGCGACTAGTCAAATCCCTATTTACATGGGCATTGTGAAAGCATTTTGAGATGTTAACATAGCAAAGCTATTGGATAAATATTTATTTACTTCAATATCAAAAGCAAACCTGATTAATGAAATAGTGGGACGCCCGCGAAAAACTTGTGTTAGGGAGGATTATCTTCAAACGTGTTATAATCAAATTGGGATGGCCAGGCACAATCAAGTTACTTATTTAAAGTGACACATTTTAATAAGATAGTCGTATTGATATTTGATAATGCTTTCTGAGAATTGCAAACTGCAGGAAGAATCAACTTGCAATTATCTAGGTTCATTATCGATTAATGAAGGAACCAGCAGTAATCAATTTAACCATCTAAATCACAATTTGCATCCGTAGCAGAAGTCCTCATTTACCAATTATTCTTTTCATTCAGGAAAAAAAAAAATTAACTTCCAGAATTGACCCCCTTAGAAAAAGGTCATAAAGAAGGAGATTCAGGTGGTTATCCTTATTGCATTGATACCCCCCACCCCCCCCCACACAAATGGTTTAGATTTAATTAACAAATGCATCTCCATGTTTCCTGCAAAATCTGTTACAAGAAGTCAGAGAGGTCAAGAGATGCAATTGACACCATATTTGATTTAGCCTATTCAATAGTAGCTTCAGTAAGATAAGTCGCCCAGACAGGAATAATAAATGAGGCAGTAAAAAGAGGGAAAAATTTCAAGAAATAATGGACAAGTGTCATGACATGATTTCAGCAATTACATGGGGGAAAACAACGATGTAACTTACCGAACGATCACGATGCTTGCGATCTTTATCTTTGCGCTTTTCTCCAGACTTCTTTTCTAAAGAAATATCAATTAAACATTGTTACCAACAGTTCTTGAAACATCATAATCATAATTACAAAGGAAAATCAATTGAGAGAGGGTTTGAAATGAATGGGCAATAACAAAAGATATCTACATTATTAAGTTCTATGAAGTTTAAGCAAAGCGATCTTATATAAATTGAGCGAAAACACCTGTATATGACATACTAAAGGAGATATCAACATGCAATATCATGGGAGAAAGACAGAAAGCCTAATATTAAAGAAAAAATGTTCATCAAATGTGCTGTTATAATTTTTCCTTTCTGCTTATTACGACTCCTGTTTAGGGACAAGCGAACAACTACATAACGATTCATTCAAACAGATTTTTTCATAAGAGTCTTTGGGGGTTCTTCCATTGTAAAAATAAGTGAAAAGGGAACCACCTCTTCTTTATCATCATACACCAATGAGATAGGCGACATAGGCCTAGGAGTTCTCCAGACAGTGATGTGTGTAAAATATTGAGTTGTGTTTGGTCTAATGGCCCGAGCAACATGAGAAATCCTAGTTAATACAAATTTTATCTTCAATTCTTAAGGTAATGCAGTTTAAGTTGCTCTGTGTTCGCTGAATCACGGGCCAACAATCATGCTACGGCTGCTAGCTGGGGTCTGCTACTCAACCATCTTCAAGAAATATAACCCTTCCTTTACCATAGCCATTTTTCATAAATTTTTAGAGCACATATCACGGACTTATATCTTCCAACCAAGGTTATTATTTATTTCCAAAACCCTAATAACCAAAGTATTCCTGTTCGGAATAAATGATGAACGAAAGTGTCAACCAATGCCAACCAACCCCAGATTTTTAGCACAAATCAACAAGTAATCCGTGAGCATTGCAAAATATGTTTACCAACCATCAATTATTTCCATCTACAACAATAATAAAAAAAATATCTACCTGACGTCTGAGAGACGAAGATTTCTTCGAGTTAAAATCAGAAAGAAAAAAACATCCCAATCGTAAGATGTTAAATAACAAATACCTTTATCAGAACGATGCTTGGAAGATTTATCGGATTTGTGCTTCTTATTAGATTTCTCTTTCTTGTCAGCGTCTCCAATTTTTACCCTTTTGCTCTTCGCATCGTCTGCCCAAAATTACACAAAATTACATACCTACGTGTATACAGTAATCAGCATACATAAGTAGAATTGTTGAAAAAAAGGAACCTCGCGGAGAAGAGGGAGAAGTTCTCTTGAGCTTCTTCTTCTCACCCTCCCTTGATTTCCTTTCGCTGCCCATTACTGAAAATCGTATGGAATGTTTTTTTTTGCTCTTTAAGAATGTACTACACTCTTTTGCAGCTTTGGGAAAATTGCAAAGGAGGCTCTCAATTTATGATCTATGTAGCTAGACAGTCCTTGTCTTTTTCATTTAAGGTCCGTTTGATTGCAATGGTGGAAAATGGGTGAAAAGAAAATAAATTTCAGAGAAAATAATTGTCTAGAACTTATTTTTCATGGAATTGTTAATTAAGTGTGTTTGATTGATATAATTTTTCACCCGAAAAATTTTAAAATTTTGGATTTTTTTTGTGTTCGTTTGATTTTGTTTTATATGAAAATTGTCTATTGAAGTATTTTTTTTTTCCATAATTGGTTATTTATGGAAATTGTCCATTTAAGTGAAATTTTTTTTTACAATTAGTTATGAAATTTGTTACTATTGCCAAAAAGTTTTTTAAAAAAAATTTGCTCGAAAACTATTTTTTCATCAAAATTTAGTATTCGTTTGACTTTGTTTTACATTGAAATTGTCTATTAAAATGAATTTTTTTTACAATTAATTATAAAATTTATTCGAATTGCCAAAAAAAAAGGCTGGAGTTCCATTTTCCCACCAAAATTGTGGGAAATGAATTCAACAAAAATCAAGAAAATGAGGCGCATGAGATAGAGAGAGGAAAAACATTTGCCTAGAAAATTGTCCATATCAAACATGACTAAGAGTAGAAGTTAGAATTTGATTTCCATTTTTCATGGAAAATTTGGTGCATCAAACAGTCCTTTAGAGTATTTTAATTTTCAACAGTAACAAAATCATCAAGTAGACTATTTGAGCTTTAAAATTTTCATGGTTGAGAATGTTAATAAATTATAAATAGACAGAAATGAGTAGTGAATAATTGAATAAAAAGTAATTTGAGTATTTATAAATGATTTATAAAACATAAGCCAAACGTTAAATTTCTTAGAAACACTGTTATAACATTGTTTTTAACTTAAAACGGAAAAATAATATAATCAAGTAATGAAAATAAAAGGGAAAAAGGAAAAGTGAGAAAAAGGAAGAGGAGGAAGAAGAAGACGACTTTACTGAGGGTAGGAGGGTTCAAACGGGGGGACATGGCTGGCTAGATGAGGTGTTTACCCTCATAGCATTTGGGATTCTGAACCAAGGGTAGGTAAGCCAACTGTTGGATTGGGCGACCCTCTCAACCTCGTCATGTCAAAGATTTTCGAGAGTTAAAATAGGGAATACTTGTTTTTTCATTTATTTAATAGAATACGATGGTACAATTAAAAAACACAAATAAAATGAAATGCAATAGTCGAGACGAGGCAATATTGGAAGGACATTTTGGAAGCTAGATTGAGCGAGGGTGAGATGGTATGAGAGAAAACTCACATATTTTCAATTTTTCTTCTTTCGCTCATTTCATTTTTTATTTATATTTTGTTCAAGTTATATGTAACTTTAATGTGACATTTTAACGGTCAAACAAACAGTTTCAATCTATTGATTTTTTATGTGATAAAAGTAAAAAGTTTATTGATTAATATATATGAAACGGAAGTTCGAGATCTAGTTGCTACATGCCTTACTATGAGATGTGCGCAACTAAAACATTTTCAAGCGCAAAAATTGATTGAATTGGAATTCCACTTAACTCAAATTGCAAATTTCATGTCTTCGTAAATTTGTTTTTTAATGGATCGCATCGTTATTCATGTGAAACCTGTAAAATATCTAGTTGCACTCAAAAAAGAAAGTGTTTAAATCGTGTAGCGTCCTACTGAAAAAATTGAGCATCGTCGTTATCCGAAATAGGTGCATAAAAAATTTCAAACACAAACTCCCCCTAAGCATCACACTATTTCCATCATCAGCACAATACTTTGGCTAAGCAACTAAACATCATAGCCTGAAGTGTTAAATATGAAGTGATTGGAAGTACATTTTAGATAACAATTTAATCAATAGAGCACATAGACCATATAGTTACAAATATTAAATTCATCAAGGCAAAATGATAACATAATTCACACATGTTCAAGTTAATAATGTGACAAATTCCATGGGCTTGTGATTTTTCACCTTTTTTTTTTTTTTGTTAAAGAAGGATGGTACATCTGAGATTTTATTAAATGTGATTTTTCATGCGTGGGGATTTGTCTCATTCAATTTGAGGGCCTGTTTGATACCGATTATTTGAAGAAACTCGATTTTTTGATTCAATTTGATGGACACATTGAAGCATAAATTACATTTGTTTCATAAATAAACAACGACAATGTCGAATTCTGTTTCTACGGACCCATCAATAAATTGTTATACGATTCCTCAACTTCCAACTATAAAGATCTCTACGCTAATAGTACCCTTCGTAGGATTATGGAAAAAGCACTTTAGGGTGAAAAATGGTATATCACTCTTCGAAGTCCATATCAAAATTGTAAAGCGTCAATTGTGATTCTCCGAGCAGGAAAATTTATTTGGATTGCCTTTTTATATAATATTTAATTAAATTATCTCAAATTCAAAATATCACGATCTTCTAAAAATTTAATTTTAATTCATATTAAACAAGCGCTTATTCGTTGTAGATTAAAATCAGATTTGTAGTAGATTTTAATAAAAAAATGATGGTTAAAAAGTTGTGATTTTGTGAAATGTATGGTTAAAAAATTGTAACTTTGTTGATTTTGATTTGAGATACACATTAAAATTTTGAAAAATGCTAAGTGTACATAATTATTGTACCTAAGAGTGTACATAACCCTCACATGGGATGGGGTAAACAAAAAAGGTGGGCTCCACCCCATGTGAGGGTTATGGACATCTCTATGTACAATAATTATGTACACCAAGCAAAGTCCAAATTTTTATTTTCATTCTTCTACTCATTTTTAATAACACATTTTTCAATAAAATAATATTTTCTATTACATCAATAACTTTTCCTTCTTTTTCAATCTCACGTTTTCTATCAATCTACTGTTTCAAAACAAATTCTTCCAAATATAATGGCTTACAATAATTATGTACACCAAGCAAAATCCTAAAATTTTTATTTTCATTCTTCTACTCATTTTTAACCACATATTTTTCAATAAAATAATATTTTTTATCACATCGATAACTTTTCCTTCTTTTTCAATCACATATTCTCTGTCAATCTACTATTTCAAAATATATCCTTCCAAATAAAATGGCTCAAACACACCAACAGGCGCTGAGTCAAAGTACTAACTGAACTCTCTCCCCATTTCGAACATGAGAAATCAAACACAGCGTATCTGAAATTTGGAAAACCTATTTATAGTTGTATATCATTTGATTTTAGTTTTCGAAAATTGGTGAGCAGTGACATAAAATTTGACACTTGCTATTCAAATGATGTGTACGCGTGTTCGTGTAGGTGTAGGCATGGCGCTTCGCTATTGCGCCGGCAGTTCGGCTTACGTCCCGCAGCGCTCTTCCATGTCTATCTTCACTCGTCAGGTACTTAATTAATCTCATCTGATTCATTTGCATCTACATTCACGCACTGCTGACTCTGTAAGTATTTCGTTTGTTTCTTTTTAATTTACTGTGATGGTTAATGATCTTGTCATTTTGACTCGATCCTGCTTTGCTGCTTGAAAAGTAAGTGCTAGGTAAGACAATTTATTTTAGTATTTATACGGGGAAATTAATATGTTACATGTGCATTTTGCGACTTCTAATTTGATTATTGAGTGAGTATCTGTTCAGATTTCAATGTTTCCCCCCCCATAATATACGTTTTTAGGCATCCATTAGACCTCGAAAGAAAAGATGTAGTAATTTCACACCTGCCCAGTATTCTTCCATTTGCAATGAGTACTTTGAGTTTAAAATTGTGATCTAAAAGCTAGGAGTCTGGATGTATTGCAGATGAACATGGAAGCGCAAAGTGTTGCTGCTCATCTGAACAGTTCTGGATTCATTCGAAGTCAGGGCCTTATTGGTGGGAAGTGGATTGACGCTTATGATGGGAAAACTATAAAGGTCAACCATTTGGAAAAAAGGAAGTGTATTTACACCTATTGTTTGGTCATGGAATAATTTTGTTTTTCTCATGGCAGGTTTGCAACCCTGCTACAGGCGATGTTTTAACAAATGTACCATTCATGGGTGGGAAGGAGACAAATGATGCAATTGCGTCGGCATATGATGCATTTGTTTGTGAGTTTATTATGACTTATTTCCCTCATATTCTGTTTTTCCCTTTTAGAATTTGTTTTTTGGTCCTATTGTTTTGTAATTAAAAATGACTTAGTAGGTCATCACATTGAGAATTAGAAACTCTAGTTCTATACCATGATGAAATCGCAAAAAGATAATAGACACACAAGAATACGTAACTTTATAGAGATTCGCTTCAATATGAGATTATATCATTGTTCGTCGCTTTAGTAATTTACTATAATAAAAACAAGTTTACAAGCAAAAAATCGCATAATCTATCTTTTCTAATCCCTCTCTTTCCTTTTTGATGATAATATAAAGCCTAATGATGGCTCCTCATTCATACGACAAATTAGGGCAAAATTGCGTACTAGCCCCGTACGACGATAATAATTAGGCTCCATAACTTAGAAATCTTCCCCCTTAGAGCTAATCCACCATCAATGACTTATCTACAACAGCAATAACTCCTCGGTACTCAAAAGAGAAGTTCAATTGAAGTTGCACGCAACTTCAGTTTTTCGATCAGATCAATCTTCATCTACTTATGAGTCAGATTCTGACTCCATTGAAACTTCTCAAGTGTAAAGAACCTATCCTTCAAAGTCTATATGATGAGTGCTTCATCCTTGCATGATAAACACGAGTCTTTGCTTAATGAATAACACTTTGATTGTCACAATGCAACTCATTCTTCCCATGCTTGTTCAAGAAATATTGGAACCATATAATCTCTTTGCTAGCTTTGGTCACAGCAACATACTCTGCCTTAGTAGTGGAAATAGCAAATATCTTCTGCAGCTTAGACACCCAACTAACTTAACTAACTGTTGTATCACCCAAAGTATACGGAACTAAATAGTATCACAGATTAGGAGCAAAATGATATAGGATATTCATAGTTTTTCTTTTTCTCTCCCCTCATAGAGTTTTTCTCCAGTCTGCAGTTTTATTTTATTCTGTATTTTACGAGTAATGAGTAATCTCACAAAAAATTATGGATTCTGGCTTATTGACCTTGTCTGTATCTATATCGTACTTATTTCCTGTCATAAGTTCTAAACTATTGCTGATAAGAGATTCTTATTCTTATTGTTGCATTTAATAAAAAATTTTGTTTCCATCACAATTACGAAATGAATCATTTTTTTACAAATTGGAAAAAGAAAAAAAAAAAAGAAGAATTTTTTACAAGACGAAAATGTATCAAATTTGGCAGTGTGTATTCAATGTGGTTTGTCTATTCTTACATTTCTGCATAGAACACCTGGTACGAAAAATGACATCCCCGTGCTAATCCTTGGAGCTGAATCAAAATTGAGTTTCATGTAGCCTTGAAAATTTACATTATTTCCCTTACATATCAATTTAATTGGTGAAGCTTGGAGCAAACTCACTGCTGCCGATAGGAGCAAATGTTTAAGGAAATGGTACGATTTGATAATGGCCCACAAAGAAGAGCTTGGACAACTTATAACCCTAGAGGGAGGGAAACCTCTGAAAGAGGCCATTGGCGAGGTACGTGGCTCTCAAATTTGTCTCTAGAAATGAAAGCATTGTGCATATGCATTTTAATATTTGGAGCATTCAAGAACTCGTGCATCACAGGTTAGCTATGGGGCGAGTTTCATAGAGTACTATGCTGAAGAGGCAAAACGTGTGTATGGTGACATCATTCCAGCCACATTACCAGATCGAAGGTTGTTTGTTTTAAAGCAGGTAAGCATGCCTTGATTTAATTTTCAATTCCAGTTATGCTATGAATTCTCTGGCTTTAGGGCATTCTTTAACATATTGGAGTATACCTATCCAAGAAGTCAGAAGGCAAATCAAAATGCTTGGTATGATTGTGCTTAATAAGGAAACATCCTTTGTCGTATTGAGAAACTATATTAATAAGGTTTGCATTACATGGGACACTATTTGGACACCTTAAATTAATTCCATGTTGCAACAAACTGAATGTTTCGGATACTCAGTTACACTTCTCGGACATTTAGCAAACCCTCAACCAACAAGCTTAAGACCGAAAAAGGAACATGGCAAGATCTTAGCATTTATTGTAAATATTTTACTTTATAAAATAATATTCTCTCTATTGCAAATGGGTTGAGCCTTGTAGAAAGTAATGCATATATCACATTCTATAAATGCATGTATTTCTTATGAACGGCAACCTGTAACAGTTAAACATTTTGTTGGTTAACATGTTCTCACCTGGTCTTCTTTTTTCCTATTTTTTTCTGACTTCTTGCATGTTGTTCTGCACCATTGTTCTTAGTAAATAGATCCACTCAGGCATATTTTGTTAGTGAATGTTGTCAATAGAGTCACTAAGGGAAAAAAATTTTTAACATAGAAGGAAAATAAATTCTCTTACGCAATATTTTACCTGATGGGATCTGCGGCTATAGAAGATCAGAAAATGATCACTAATGAAGTGGAAAACCTCCTCACACTCTTATTTTACTTTGTGTTTAATCGTGTCCTTTTCTGCTATGAATATAAACTTTTGATTATGATTGAATGTTTTTATGGCCAGTTTTTTATGAATTTGATGAGTTCAGGCATTCTATTTATTATTAGTGTACTGTGTTATAAGTTATTCCAAATAATGTAAGTTCTCTTGCAGCCAGTGGGGGTTGTTGGTGCAATTACTCCCTGGAATTTTCCTTTGGCTATGATAACTCGGAAGGTAGGTTTCAACTTCTGTCCTATGGTTGAATATACATAACATTGTTACTGGGAACCACATTGGGAAAAGGAAAAACTGGATTTTTTGTTTCAACTATTTACCAGGTTGCCCCTGCCCTTGCTTGTGGATGCACAGTTGTCATAAAACCCTCTGAACTGACACCATTGACTGCATTAGCAGCAGCCGACCTCTCCATTCAAGCTGGAATACCACCGGTGAGTCTGATTTTAAAACATTTAAATACAGAAATCTGTGTATGTTGGCATTGACATCATGGACGAAATCACTCTCTATTTAGCTAGAAACTACTGAAATGTAAGGTTAAGTTCTTATACTTTTGTCATGGTGTTATGCACTATAGGATGAGATTGGAGTTGTTTTTGATATTCTTGCCTCATGCTCTGAGAGAATGGGAACGACTCCTCCTCTCCCTGTATTACTATCCAAACATACGGGCCTTTTAAGTTGATCACATATCACATCTGGATAGGTGGATTTAAAAGTTGTTCACTTTGTTTAAATACAATTTATACCTTCCTTCTACTGGTTAACTGAATTTCTCTTTCATCATAAATTGCTCTCTCTTAGTTTTAGAAGCTAATCAAACATTTAGAAGTTTTTATCTTATATAGCAGTCAATGCCTACTAATTTTTGCCTATGCAACTAAATGAGGTGATTTTGTGCTTGATGTGTTATTCGCTTGTATTTTATAAACCATGTGAAACCATAAATTTATGCTAATTGAATCAAGCTGTATGGCGATGATGAGGGAAAGGATGAAGAAAATTAGAGGACTAACTATATTATCAAATCTAATGGCCTGGACATTTCTCTAAGCGCATTATGAGTTGGAATGACTTAATGTGATCTGTAACGATTATCCTTTTTCTCAAGCAATTACACAAAAACTGATCCTTTCCCACTAAATGTTTTGACATCTCAATTTTGTTTCCTATTTCTTATGTTCTGATTGAGATGATTTATACAAGTCAGGGTGTGGTAAATGTTGTAATGGGAAACGCTGCTGATATTGGAGAAGCTTTACTTGCAAGTTCACAGGTTTCCACTTAGCTTTTCTGTTTAAACAATCGGATGCTCGAGCGTGCACACACAAAAAGGTTACTGAATGTTTTCTCGAACTTATTTAGGTAAGAAAGATAGCATTCACTGGGTCAACAGCTGTCGGAAAAAAATTAATGGCAGGTGCTGCTGGGACTGTGAAAAAGGTATGCAATTAGGGTTCCTGAACTCTCAAATTCATAACTTTTGATACTATCTCATGTCAAATTCTCATGCCTGTAGGTCTCCCTAGAACTTGGTGGCAATGCACCTTGCATAATCTTTGATGATGCAGATCTAGAAGTAGCTCTGAAAGGAACCGTAAGAAAGCAATTTATGTCATTCTTGAAATTATCACGTGGACTTTTATTCTTATACCTAGTGATGATTTTGAGAGTTTTATCCATTTACCATGCAACATCTCCCCTCTCTCAGCAATTTCTAGAGAAAAAATGCGGTGTTCTAGAGCACTATAAATTGGCAGACATCAAGGGTTTTTAGCTTATTGATATGCCAAAAGCCAAATTGGAATTGCATGTTTTGCTGTAATCTTGTTGGATGGAATATTATTCTGCATTCTCAACATGGTGGTTTTCCTTTGCCTTATCCATAGAAGCTTGGCCTGGGTCCTTTTTAATTTGCAAAAGTTTGTCTTGTGGAATAACTGATCTAAATCCCCCCTTCTTCATTCCAAAAAGTAGTGTACCAAAATGTTTTCATGTCGAATAAAACCTCTAAAATAGTTAACAATTGACAGTGGTAATATACGTAGAATATAAAGATTTTAAAGTATAGACAATGACAGGAAACTGAAGCATAGATTGGTAATGGCAGACTGTATAACAACAGACCTGCTTTTAAAGCACACGTCTAAAATTGACTTGCTTATGGGAGTTGGAGAATTATTGGAGTTTTCCGCGCAGGATGGGGAGGTGGGGTTGGGGTTCTTTCTTTGTTTAAATTTGCAATTTTTTGAGTTCATCGTGGACTGGTCAGTGACCATTAAATTCACTGTCAAATTATCTATGTCTGTTCAATTTTCTTGAAGCTGCTACTTGGATTATAAAGTTTTCGCAATATGGGATTCTATGTCTCTATATGTGGACAAATTTGGTCTTCGTGTTCATATTCATATTCTAGTGTTGTTTTTAAGTCATGAAATTCTTTATTATTCTTCTTTATGGAGAAGTTTTTTTAAGCTTCAGATTATCGACTTATTTACCCTAACAAAACTCAGATGGTCTAAGGTTACATCCTCTGTGAACATCAGTATGTCACATCCTCTTTTGTATTTGAATAACTTACCACTGATTATATCAACACTGTGGTCTCTGAGATGGTCTACATTAACTGATTATGCTGTTGTTAGTATACCTAAATTGCCGTCTTTGCTTAGGAAATTGTTTACTAATTGTCTATGCAATTTGTTGTTTCAGTTGGCAACAAAATTCCGTAACAGTGGACAAACGTGTGTTTGCGCAAATAGAATACTTGTGCAAGAAGGTAATTGGTGAAAACTGAACTTTGTTTACTTGGTTCCTCACCCCCAAAGGTTTTGCCCTACTTTTATATGAATGTGGTGCATTGGTGCATGTCTCCAACAAGTGGTATTGATGAATTGCCTGCTTGATTTAGTCACATTTGTTTGTACTCATATTTTTCAGACTACGTAATTCGTCCTAAAAATATTTAGACATGTTTTTAGGCTCTTCATTTTCTCTTGCAGGATCAGTGGTAAATAACCTGCATAATTTGCTTAAATTGTTTTATGTATTTATTATTTTCAGCAGAATGTTTGGTCTTTATCTTCTTTTGCAGGGATCTATGAGAAATTTGCAAATGCCTTTTCTAATGCTGTGCAGAGTATGAAAGTTGGGGATGGTTTTGGTGAAGGTGTGGTTCAGGTAGGCAACTGCACGTTCAGATTAATTTCTATAGTGTATTGTATCTTTCTATCTGTTTTAAGTTATTTATGCATTATGTTGAGGCTTGATGTATAATGTTTAAAAATGTTCCATTTTCATGACATGACTTGCTATGATCTTCCATCAATTTGTTTACCACTTCCTGGTTTTCTCTATCTTTATAATGCTAAGGAACTCACAGATCTAGTTTGCACTTATTGTTTATTTCTTTTGCAGGGCCCGCTAATTAACGATGCTGCAGTGCAGAAGGTCAGTTTTCTCCTTTAAAATTCCCATCCGTGTTATGCAATGTGCCATGATACTCGTAATTTTGCCAAATCTACCTTATTTGACACCTCAGGATTTTCTCACAGGTTGAAAAATTGGTGCAAGATGCCATCTCGAAGGTTTGTTGACCCCCCCTGGTAGAAAATAACATTGTATTACAAATTATCAGTAAGCAATATCTAGCATGTCTATAGATATAAAAAATTCCATTTAGATGGAATGAAAAAATTTCTGGTGAAGTTATATAGTTCTTACACTCGTTATACTATGATATGCTTGTTGCTTTTAGGGAGCTAAAGTCCTTGTTGGTGGCAAGAAACACAGTCTTGGACGGACTTTTTATGAGCCTACAGTGATGATTGATGTGAAGGGTGAGATGCTCATATCCAGGTAATGTTGAAAGCTTCGGAATATTCATATAATTTGCAGTTGTTAAATTTATATAAATATGAGTCCAGTGTTGCATCAAAATTTGGATGTCTTGAGAAATCCCAAAAGTTTTCGCTTTAATTATTGGGTTGTTGCCTATTTTGCATATGATGGTTAAATGCATTATTCTGTACACAGCCTTTCCCATTGTGTACATATATATATATATGATAATAAAATAATGGAGTTTATGAACTCTTGATATCTATCTGATGCTTACGAATGGTAATTTTTAGTACTGATCAAGGCATTCACAGGATCCATTATGCTTTGTAATATGTCCATGACATTCTTTTAATCAGTATCCATACGAACCTTCTGAAATTTTAATACGATGTTTGTGTCAGTTTCCCCTAGTAATGAACATCAAAAGAAATATTAGCAACGGTAAACAAAATATTATTCAGTAGTATTTGACTTCTTACATTTTGGGAATTAGCTATATTCCAATGAAATGGAGTCCTCCGTTGTACTGCATATGTAATGCCACTCGTTTTTCGATTAGCAACTATATCTGTAATTAATGTCTAATGGCTTTCCACTCCAGGGAGGAAGTATTTGGTCCTGTTGCACCTCTTCTGAAATTTAAAACTGAGGAAGAAGCTATCAGCTTGGCCAATGATACCAATGCAGGTCTTTTGTTTTTTCCTGGATGACTCCATGTACTAAACTAGAATTTTACAAATTGTGCTCGTTGCCAGTAGATAAAAAATGCATTACAATCCCCTTTGAGTGTGCCTAAATCAAAGAACTTCCTAATGTCAGAAACTATGGTGAATTCATAGTAGTAGAAGAATGTGCCTTGTACCTATGCTAAATTTGCATATGTAATTTGCAGGGCTGGCCGCCTATTTTTTCACCACAAATGTTCAACGCTCTTGGCGTGTAGCTGAAGCTCTTGAATATGGAATAGTTGGAGTTAATGAAGGATTGGTTTCGACTGAGGTGTGTTTTAAACTGCATCTAGTGGCTGAGAAGATATAAATGTTGAAAGTTTTTGTTATTTACTTGTTACCCTTTCATGTAGGTGGCTCCATTTGGAGGTGTGAAACAATCAGGTCTTGGACGTGAAGGATCAAAATACGGGATTGAGGAGTTTCTGGAAGTATGCGTATTTACGATGTTACTTCATTTATAACAAATACAAAAAAATCCTTGTTTTTCCAAATTTATGAATTTCTCTTTTATTTCTTAGATTAATCGAGAACCATTAAAATTGACGACACTACTTCATTTATAGCAAATACAAAAATATCCTTGTTTTTCCAAATTTATGAATTTCTCTTTTATTTCTTAGATTAATCGAGAACCATTAAAATTTACGACACATTGAATTTCTATTTCAACTGTATTTTCAGCTGTAGCAATCACCTTCTGGTAGGATTTAGAGCCCGTTTGATTCTCATTATTGTAGAATGAGAATGAAAAATATAGCCGTTATTGGTCCCCACACAAGAGATAAAAGTTCAAAATTAATGGCTTGATATGATGGATAACGGTCATATTTTTCATTTTATGGATGAAAAATGAGAAACAAACGGGGGCTTATTCTCAAGTCATTGGTGTCAGTGATCTTTTCAGGATCTGCTGTGTTTATCCGTCTTGTGATTTTTAATAGGCAAAGTGCCTGGTTCAGCTGCCAAGTCCCTTTGCTATGACATCCTCCAAAACGTTGTTGCCCTGTGGAGGCCATGGTTCATCGAGTTTAGGCGTTTCACTATTGCTCTTGTTGTCATAGGCTTCTTGCATCTGTCAATTCTAATAATATGTATTGTAGGACAGCATTGCACATCTAAAACTTCAAAATGTTCCACACTTTGCTTCGATGTCGATTGACTGACATTTTTGGTTTTCTCTTGCAGATTAAATATGTGTGTTTGGGGAATATGAACTGAGCTGAATTATCGAGGTTGCTCCTAAGAAAGTTGGCACACTATGTATCATACTTTGCTGCTAAAACACCGGTGTTTGAGTCGAGAACCTAGTTCAGATTGGTTTTTTTGAGATCCCTGTACAGTAGATGATGAACTGCTGAAAGATCTTTGTTCCAATTGTATCTAAAATAAGTGCCATTAGGCACGGTGGACTGGTTGCAAGAAGACTTTTTTTTTCTTCAATTTTGGACGTCAAACGGTACTCTTTATGAATGGCTGACTTCTTCTAAGGTTAGATTTGCCTATTCTCAGTTCTATTTTCGTTTGAATATGGGAATATTATGTAACTTAGTAGAAAAAAGGTTTGTNTATTAATACTAAAATGTTAAATAAGGATATAGATGGAAGAAACAATTTTTATAAAGGGTAAACAAATGCAAAATAGAGTTAAATGAAAATTCTTATATTAGGTGTAACTATTCATTACCCTATTTTTTGTACTATACTTAGGATATCATTGGAGGAGCTTTTACACTAAGGGCGTGTTCGGTAGAGATTAAAATTGAAAAATTAGCCGTTATTGTTGACTTTTATTAGACGAGTGGGACCCAATAACGGCCATATTTTCAATTTTAATCTGATTTTAATCCCTCCCGAACGGGGCCTAAACGCTCGCGGTTACAAAGGATTGCTACATCCTTAAATTGGTCTATGAATATCTCACAAATGAAAGAAATCCAAAAATAGAACTCCGATGTAATTTGAACAATTTTTTTTATGCATAAAATTTAAATGTCCTATACCCAACAACTTAATTATTCTACTCGTATCAATTATAATTGCATTAAAAAGATATATAGTTGGTGTGTAAATGGGGTAGGGATGTTAAATGAGCCAGTTGATCAGCTAGACTTCCCCAGCAGCGGGCTAGGCTCAGTCCCCCAAGAGAGTCGGCCTGCTTCATCGAATTGTGGCTTGGCTCGTCCCATTGCTCGTAGTTCGTCAATTTTTCATTTTTTTATTAAAATTGTATGAAAAGTTGGCTCGCATGATAAATTCATTGCTCAACTCGTTAGGGAGGCAAGGTGAGCCAAGACACCCCCAACATGGGTTGAGTTGGGGTGGGGTGTGTAGTATATATGTAACTTGATGATATATATATATATATATATGAAAAAAAAAAATTTTAAGGAGAAAGACTAGTAAAGGTAGAATGTTAGAGGAATATGGTCCCACAAATTCACCTGAAAGAAATATATTCATTGTTAGGAATAAATTCCCAAAGCATATATAGATGCTTAAAATTTAAGCAAACATGTCCCAATATCCATTCCACCATGCATGCTTTTTGTCCTAAATTAAATTTATGGTTTAGAAACAAATTAGAACTAATAAAAGTTAAACCATACCTTTATCTTCATCAACTTTTGAAATGGGACATCTATTTCAATATAAATGGTTCAATTAATTAACTGCTTTTCTTCTAATGATGTAAATGGTTCAATTTTATTGGAGGCTGATCTCTCTGTCTGTACTTGTAGCTGTCTAACTTTTATTAATTTAATTTTAATGGTTTTTTCACAGTTTTTGATGCACAAAAGAGCTTGAGAAGTTGTGAACAGAAGACCATTATTGCCAAATCTTTGAAAAGATAAAACTAGAGTTAGATTTATTATAAAATAAGATTAGGAAAGATAATTATAAGAAATTTAACACTTTTGAGGCAAGAATCTTTCCTTTGGTTGTGAATGAAGGAAGAATTTATTCCTTAGAGTAAAGGTGTATTATTTGAGGTTGTTCTTCAAACATCTGAAAATTTTGACGTGTCTTTTCTGCATTGGTCGGACGTGTATGTTTTACTATATTAGTAATTTATTGCAAGAAAAATTACGAATATCTTGTATACGTTTATTGTACAATATTGAATTTGTTTTAATTCTTTTATGATGTCTAGTACCTCAAGAAACAAACTATATACATGGTTGTCTTTCTTAGTTATGTATGATCATATTCAAAACTCAATTTAACGTATAAAAACACATCACAACGATGAATGTAAGATCAAAGAAAATATATTTACATAAGGGTTCATTTCACAGGATTTCTGCTTTTCGTAGAAGAGCGTTCTAAAGTAATTCTAGAAAATTACGAAAAAAAAATGTTCAAAAGTAGTTTCTTAATCTCAGAAACAATTTGTCACTTTTCAAAAATCTTACCAGACGGGTCCTAATTATTACTTAATCATGTTGATTAATTAAATTGATTTTAATTACTAGGGGATATACATGGACCGGACCGGTGACAAGTGTTTGGGGCTAAGTCTGATTTGTCCGGATGTATTGTGGGGTAATTTGATGGCACTGCATGGGCATGGAAGGGCAATCTTCTATTCCACAAAAGCACTAGAGATTGAGCCCCTACATTCTTTACATGAGAAAAAAAAAGTATATTTATTTCACTTTATCCATTCAAATTTTGTTATACATACAGCATTTATATTTCAATTTTTGAATTATAAAAGCATTCCTATAATTTATCGAATTTTAAAAAAATATGAATTCAAAAATTCTCGTTTTATATATAAACTCCTCATTTATTTTTATTTTTATTTTTTTAGTTTTATACAATATCGTATATCACTTACTACAAAATGTGTAGCGTTTTAATTAGATTGATACATGGTGATTGGAACATTATTATATGCATCAAAGAATAATCGTGACAATTATTGTATGGTTTTATCTCAAAAAAAAAAAAATACAAGATGTATAGAGCACAATTTTCTTTAAAAGTATGCACAATCGATCTGAATCTGATTGCAATAATTCAGATAATTCTCTTAGGGTGTGTTTGATATGATAGTTTTTCCGTGAAAAATGGAATTGGTTTTCCATTTTCCATATTTTTTGGTGTTTAATAGTATTTTTTTGTGGCAATAGAAACAAATTTCATAACCAATTGTAATTTTTTTCACTTTAATGGACAATTTTCATGTAAAATAAAGCCAAATAAATACTAAATTTTGATGAAAAAAATAATTTTATAGGAATTTTTTTTAACTTTTTGACAATGGAAACAAATTTTATAATCAATTTTGGAAAAAAAATCATTTTAATGGACAATTTTCATGTAAAATAAAGTCAAACGAATACAAAATTTTAAAATTTTACAAGTGAAAAATTATACAAATCAAACATACTTAGCCCCCGTTTGAACCCCATTTTTCTCATTCTATTATATTAATTTTTTCTCTCTTTTCATCTCCACCACACATTCTCAAATAAAATAATATTACACACAAATCTAAAATTTTTCTACCACATATTTTCCCATTAATCACTATTCTACAAATTTTTAACCTCAAAAAATGGCGGCCAAACAAGGCCTTAATTACAAATTCCTTGCAAAACAATTTCTAGACAATTACTTTCCCTAAAATTCATTTTCTTTCCACTCATTTTTCACCCTTGCAATCAAATGGACCCTTAGTGATCAAGATTATAAGTTTGTTTTGCGTGAATTATTACTTTAATATAGTACAATCTTGTATATAATTTTTTTCTTCTCATATAAACCACATTAAAAAAATAAAAAAAAATGAATTTGTAATACGATGAGCTTTCCAATATTTCAATATATTAATTTTAATTAATGAACACAATAAAAATGAGAAACTCTACCGTATGTTTCTCCAATTTGTGTCTTGTCCGTTAGTCAGAGTCAGTAACCCTACTTCGAACAGGGTTGAGGATATAATTACCTAATAAGGAGTCGTACCACGACAGACAAGAAAAGTACAATGCTTTAAAGCAAGATTTACAACTGCAGAAGCTTAAAGTGCAACCTCTATTAGCCATATATCATTGCATGCAAAGCCCCGCCCCAGCTCCTACAAAAGTACATACCTAAAGAAGAGTCAGATATTAGAGGAATAACAATCATTATATATTATATATGTACATCATCATTTACTTTATGTTACATGATAACACACTATTGAACAATTTAAAAAAGGACTTTTTTCACTCACAATTTTTTGAAAACAAAAGAATGTCAAAAATCATGCAAGGGGTGGAATGTACATTTAGCATTATTGAGAGAAATAAATAGCTCTGCAATCATGTATTCAACTTTTAGGGCTAACAAAAGGTATAAATTCTACACGGATTGATCTCTCTTCCATAGTGGGCAGGAGATATCATGTCCACCAATGAGATGGCAAGATGGGTATTCATGAATTCATGAACGAAAACATTATTACGACTTCTCCTTATTTAAGTGATAAGATTTAGTGAATTTGTCACGATGTTGCAGAGAGCAAACATCCACGTCCTCACAATCCGAACATTTCGTGGAACCATTGAATCGATAAGAGCAAAGGTTGGTGTGTACAAAGGGAAATGACGTAAATGCGAGCAAATGACTTGCACTTACTAGGAATTCCCCGTTGAAAATCAACAATGTAACATTTACATTCACTTGTTCATATTACAAGATCGATGTCTGTGTTCTTGTTTAGCCCCTATTTGGTTTAGCTAAGAATTAAATTTTTAGTAGATTTTGATAAAAGTTATGGATCCTATTAAAATGAGTGATTAAAATTAACTAAAGGGGCTTAAACATGAAAATAATAACCTAAAATAATAGTGTGTGAGAGAGAGGGAGCTCTTTTGGTAAAGTATGGACTGCACCTTAGATGGAGGTGCACCTTTAATTTTTTACTTCCAAGAATAAAAAAAAATATTAAAAATTACTTTCTTGTTTTTGGTTTAACTTATGAAGAGATACATATCACTAGATAAAATTTTCATGGAACTTTTAGAAGTTAAAATTGAACAGTAATTTCTTTTCTTTTTTCAAAAAAAATCACTCAACGTGACACGTTTATTTAAAGATGAAAATAACATGTAATGTAGATTCAGGAGGAGGGTCAACCTAACTTTTAAGAAAACGAGTAAAGAAAATTAAATAAAGGTTACCTCATTTGGAGACGCGATAGCGTAAAAGCTTTAAGGAAGGAA